AGAGAGAGAGAGAGAGAGAGAGAGAGATTTCTTCTTTTTCTTCTTCTTCTTCTTCTTCTTCTTCTTCTTCTTCTTCTTCTTCTTCTTCTTCTTCTTCTTCTGTTTCTTCTTCTTCTTCTTCTTCTCGTGCCCTCGGSGGTCGGTCCGAGCCGTAGGCCGTCGCCGGGAGGCCGCCGCCCGGCGCTCGGTGATCGCCGCGCAGCGAGYGCCATCTCCRCGCGACGATTTAAGTGCCYGGTCACGACCGACCCTGGCCGATCGCGGCCGATCGCGGCCGATCACGGCCACCCCYGACCGAAYTCAGCYGACCGCGGCCGCGTGTAATTGCRGCTGCCACCGGGAGGGCCCARGGACTCGGCCACTGTGCAGGGCCGGCGATCCAGTTCGGGGTGGGGGGCCGCGAGGGTACCGTCAAGGCCCAAGGTTCCTTTCATCAAGCGCTCTCGAGGACTTCATCTACGGTGTGGGGTGAGCGACGACATCGACGGACCTGTGGCGAGGACTTCATCTACTGTGTGGGGTCAGCAACGACATCGACGGGACGATGATGGGGGGTGCGGGGACCAATGGTCCAGAGGGGTATGCGGGTGGGGGGTTCATCCCTCAGTCTCATAGGGAGATGGAGAAGCTGAGATGGGGCAACTCGGTGTGAAACTACGTCACTGCGGGCCAACATGTGGGGGACCAGTCGAAGATGCATGGGGACCGGAAGTTACGTTGAAACTTTTGCAACCACGATTGGCAGGGGAACACGACGAAGGCCGCTCGCCATTTCACGCAGTCGAAGTACTGCAAGGTTGCGGGGATGAGAGTTCTCGCGGATCTTTGGAACAACACGGACTATAGGTTTGTTGACGGCACTGCTGGGTGGGTGCGGGGTTGGATGGCTGAGGAGGGGATACGGGACACAAGAGCGTCCAAAGGTGGGCAGCGGCCACGAACAGACGACGTAGAGAGGGACAAGATTTAGGACGTCCTCGATGGGCAGGAGGGGGACGCGGGTGGTGACGGCGAGGTGGGGATGTGAGACGACGCAGTCGGATGCCCTGACCCYGACCTGCCAAGGGAGGAGGTAGTGATGACGTCGAGAGGGGTTGGGCCAGCGGGTCAYGCTGCGAGGGCGTTACGACCTGAGTTGGAACRCACGAGAAGGGAGAARAGGAGAGTGGGGSCGGTGGACGTCGACGTGCCGGACACAACGAGRGAGAAGAGGGCACGACATACCTTGATCGACGAGATGTACGACAAGGAGAAGTTGGCTGAGTTCTCAGACGTGTGGCTGCAGTGGAGGCRAAGGGGTTGCCATTCAACGCCTTCCGAGGGACGGAGTTCCAGAGGGTTCGCAGGGCAGCAGAGAGAGTACCCCGCACAGTTCGCTTTCAGTTTTYCTCGTACAGGGTTACAGTGGGCGYCGGGATCCCTTCGCAGAGGACGRAGGTAGMRYCGATGGTGAGCGAGGTGCRCTCCGCTTTCCAGCACACTGGTGCCACCATCCTCTCCGAYGGAAGGAAGTCGMGTACCGGCAAGCCGCTCGTGAACTTCCTGGCCGGGAGYGCGAACAGCCCCSTGTTGTACGCCACCGTYGCACATGACGGGTCAGYTCGCGATACGGCGGATATCATGTATCGCAGGTGGCRGGCCATCATCTTGTCCTTTCCTGCAAAGGACGTGATCAGCTTCTGCACRGACTCCGCCAGTATCTATAWGGCRACGGTCYGCAGATTCGCCACAGACCCTGTCACCYTGACGCGGACATTAGGAGGATCACTTGGCTTCCTGGCTCCACCCACGTCTGCAACTTGATGTTGTCAGACATCGRGACGCGAGTGGGGTGGGTCAAGGAGACCATCATCAGTGCCCGAGCGTTAGTGCGATTTATCAAATTGCACAGCACTGCTCACGCCCTTTTCAGGAAGGTGAGCCCTCGCGTCATGCTCGTCGAGCCCGTTGAGACCCGGTTTGCATCGGTTTTTCTGATGTTTACGTGTCTCAAAGACCGATGGGACGTGCTAGAGAGCATGCTGCACGGCGACGTGTGGGCGCGCATCCCGTGGGAGTGCAGGCTTCTCCCCCAGGCGCAGTGGGTGCAGCAGCAGATCCGCGACGGGGAGTTTTGGCGCCATGTTGACTGTGCCATCCGCGTTGTCGCGCCTGTCCACCGGCTATTAAGGAGGATGGATAGAGGGGGGATGATGATGTCCATCGTAAATGAGTGGAGTCAGCATCTGCTCGAGTTGATGAGGAGGGTGAGTGTGTCGGCGGACATGGTAGAGCCGTGTGTGCGCGAGGTTGCCATTTGCAACCTCCACATGYTYGAGCCCGCACATGCCACGACACACCTCCTCAACCCCCAACGACGGTCCCTTCGATATTATGAGTCGTTGCAGACGACCAGTGATGACGCGCGTGTGTCTGAGGAGTGCGGCAGATTTCTGTTCGCACAGACCGGCGGGGATCCAGTCGACAGACTGTACAGGACTGTGCGCGACCAGATGACGCATTTCCACTCGTGGCGGGGAGATTGGGGAGATCGGCAGTTGTTTGATGCCGAGGCGGACGATTGTCGGGGGGACCGCGAGACYGAGCATTGCGAGGCGTGGTGGTTTGCTCACGGACGACATCACCCTGAGTTGCGTACCATTGCCATCCGTGTGATGCACTTGTGGACGTCAACCTCTCCTGCAGAGAGCAACTGGAGCTCATTAACACGGCGAGGCGCAGCAAGCTTGGGTTTGCCAAGCCAGCATAGCTGGTTGAGATTGCCACCAATCTCAAACTAGCCGCGTGCAAGCAGTAGGGTGGTGGCTATGTGTTGTCGTGGGTTATGGGGACCGGTCGGGAGGGGACGGTGGCAGGGGAGGAGGATGACGAGGGAGACGTGGAGCCCGAGGTGTGGGGAGCGCGACCTGCTAGCAGTGTTAGCGAGCGGGACGTCGAGCGCCAGGTCGTCGCTTTCCATGACAGCCGACCGTCCAGAGCCGCCACGGTTGAGGACGTGTGAGGATAGAGGGCGATAGAGCTACGACCGTGGTCGGAGTACACTACAGGGGCTGACGACACTCCGGACGCTGATGTGGAGGACGACACGTCCGACAAGCAGTGGACGGACGATGATGAYGCGCTGGTCAGTGGCGACGCGATGGCGGATCGGGTGTATTTCACTTACGGTGGAGGACCTGACGGCATGGCTCCACACACATCCCTCATCACTAACGATGTGCCGCCGGGTGAACAGGCYAGTGCCAATGGTSGTCGTGGAYGACGTCCTCGTGCSGACGACGACGTCGAGGAGCAGAGCCACCTCACGGYCTTCGGCAGACCGGSAGACGTTGGGAGGTGAGGAGCGACAGCGAGCCGGAGAGGGAGGACGAGGAGGAGGAGATGCCCCATCAGGATCGTCGGTACTCTCCCTCTCATCATCGAATAATGGCACCGRCAGAGACAGAGAGGCGTTCAGCGAGGTTGGCATCGGCAGCAGAGAGACAACGGACCCATGATAGCGAGAATCGTGAGGGGGCGAGGCCTGTGGACATGGCAGACATGGAGAGGACTCCATCCGGCGCCGGTCTCCGCCCCCGCTCACCGTCGGAGCTCCGCACCGACGACTTTGACGTCGGGGGGTCAGGTAGGGGCTTGAGGGATTTTAGTGCCCCTAGACAGGGCGGTGCCTCACCGTGGGAACTCCGGACCGACGACTTCGATGTGCGGGACCGTGTGTCGGCGTGTGGAGACCGCGGAGGAGTGGAATGCCCGGCTGGACAGAGAGGAGGAGGAGCGGTTGCATGCTATGCCGGGATGGGAGGGTCGGTTAGCGTATCTGGAGGAGCAGCGTCGACTGAGGGAGTTGGAGACAAGAGGGGGTGGCGGCGGTGACTATGGCGACGTGGGTGTCTCTGGGGAGGCTGTTGTGGGAGAGGTCCGAGAGGGTGTTGTCGGAGAGGATATCGACGTTGGTGGCGGGGGAGAGGGTGTCCCCGCGGGTGATGAGGGACAAGATGCCGCCACGGCTGGTGGGGGAGATGGTGTCCCTGCAGGTGATGAGGGACAGGGTGTCGCCATGGGTGGTGGGGGAGAGGGTGGACGTGGTGGAGATGTCGATCTAGACCATGGTGGCGAGGACAAGGACGGGTCCGACGACCGAGACGGTAGTTGCGACCACGGTCGCGCTGACGGTGAGGAGATGCTCGCTTTGGTCGTTAGGAACCCTACACTACCTCTCCTGCACCCCGACGACTTCACGCACGTTGCGCTCGACGCCGACGGTTTGGCGCAGGTGGTCGGTTCAGAGGACCCTTTTCCCCATACGAGCCGTAGGAGCGGTGAGAGGCGCCCCCCTGGAGGGGCATATTCACCCCCGCCCTACCTCGTGCAGAGCCCTCGATGGTCGGGTTCGTCGCTCAGTGATATCATAGGCAGGGAGTCTGGGGTGGTTGAGGGCGGGTCGGGCCGCAGCAGTGACAGCGGCGGATCTGCGGGATCGATGCCCCCACCAACCGCACGGGCCGCGGAGGAGGGCGATGAGGAGACGACGGCCCGTGCGCACATTGGTGGTTCCCCGCCGGCTGTATGAGGTGGTGTCACTGGTGGATGGGCAGCTTATCGACGGGTCAAAGACCGGTTGAGGGCGGATTACGATGCCGGGATGGGCACCTTCGCAGGATGTTTGTCACCACAGACACAGGCTGCAGAGGGTGGCTCCGGACGTCCGAGACTTCACATGGCAGGCCGCATGCTCGGTTTGTCACGAGTGGCGACGAGGAGATCGTTGGTCCTCCCGGCCGCAGGGACATCTACGGACATGCAGCAGGGACACCACTACACATCGGGCGAGGACGAGTTGATGATGCGTCATGGGACGAGACGACACGGCACCATCACGGAGGTTGAGGCTCGACTYGCAGCAGAGATCGCCGCCGRCCAGGCAGCATTGGACGCGATTCAGAGGCRGCGAGAGACGATTGCTGCAGAGGAGGCAGAGGACGAGGACGCTGRCASAGAGTCCRAGCCGATCGACAGTGCGGTTTGYAGACACAGAGCGACCGGGGCCTCGGCAGCCCCAGCAGCACAGACAACATACATCAGCGGTGCACAGGGCACAGGTGGTGGAGGCAGTGGAGGGGGCCTGGGAGAAGCGCATGGTCGACAGTTCTCCGGGAGAGCCCGCACGCGTCCACCTGCAGGGCGGGGCACGGGCCGCTCGTCTGGAGAGAGATCGTGACGTTAGTGTTTTTTTTTTTTTTTTTCGGATTTTTTTTTTTTTTTAGGCAGGATGTTCTGTTGATAGGGTAGTTTCATAGTTATGGTGATGTTGTTGCTCGATGCGCAGCGCCAGGTTCATAGTGACGGATGGCACGGTCGCATTACTTTTTTGTTAGGTACTTTGTGTTACAGTTGAGATGATAGGTCCGGTTTTTGGCTTCGGACATCTAAATGGTTAGCTTGAGATGTACTGTGTTACAGTTGAAATGACGGGTCCGGTTTTTGGCTTCAGACATGTACATGGCTACTGTATTTTCCTACTCTATGAGTCTTTGTTACAGTTGAGATGATGGGTCCAATTTTTGTTTGGTGAGTTGTTTCTGGTTTGTTGTCACACCCATGCATGTCATGGTTGCCCCTATTGTGAATGTGTTGTGAATCACGTATGTGAAATATAGATAATATGGTAATGAATGTGTTGTTTCACGACATTTCACCTACCTCACGAATGAACACACACTTTGAGTCTGTGACACACATGCATGTCATGAACTTGTTGTTGCCCACTTTGTGAATGTGTTGTGAATTTGCTATGCGAAATAGGGATGATATGCTAATGAATGTGTTGTTTCAAAAACTTTCACTAAGCTGCCTCTGGCATGCCATCCTGATGATCCGCACCCCCGTCGAGCCCCCACCCGACCCCCACACCCCAACCCAGCCCCCATCCAAACCCAGTTAAGCCGTCCCCGGAGGGGCGGCATATTTTTTTTATTTATTTTTTGTGTTGCCAACCCTCTTCCCTGCACACCTGCGTCGACGAACCTCAACTCGGGGGACGCATATTTTTTCCCGGCCCACCCTGCCCGGCCCATGTTTAGGACCACCCTGTTTTTAAATTTTTTGAAGGTCTTTCACTTCGACCCACACCCACCCACCCCAAAACCGCTCCTCACTCCCGAAACCCCCTCCCCTTTCGGCCGCGGCCGCGGCCGATAAACCCCGCCCGTGATCGGCCATGGCCGGTGGGTTCCCGGCCACGGCCGGCGGCCGCGACCAGGGGGGAACATAGCGTATCGATAATGACAAAGCAAGCACTGACAAACCTAGAACACCGATTCTCGGGAGGTAAGTAGTATCGCCCACCGATCTTTGCRACGGTCTCTCGTACGTMCCACTYRCACACACGTGTCCTYTCCTCGTTATAGGGAAAGGRGYGCGTCGAGGGCACGGGAGGATGGCGCCTCGTCGGGTTGGGCTCGTTAGTCCACATGGCAACCAATCAAGCGTCCAAGATGTCCCTAATCATTCATCATGGACCTGGAATCTTAGCCTATCGATCCCGTGAGAAAACAAAAAACAGAATCGGAACCCCTTGAGCAGAAAGAAATAAAAGTTAAGGGAGAGGGAGTCAAAAACATACTCATATGCGAGGAGACACGGCCACTGTCCACGTGTACGGATTGCATGTGGCCTTGCGCATGGATAGTCTCCCGTTATTCCTACTCGGCAAGGGTAGATTGCATATGCCGTGCTGCATAAGGCAGATGGCATGCGCCGTGTGTCCCAGACAACAGATCTCCGGGTGTTCTTCCGCAGTGACAGCATCGACAAATCGAAACACTCTCGCATTCAAAAAAATCCCAACAAAATTTCCCCTGTCAATGATTCATTCACGCGGCAGTCTAACAGCCTGATCAGACTAGTCCCGGACCCGTTCATTTCCATCCATGCGTACATTCATCCACTGTGGAAGGTGCGAAAACAACATTTATGCAGCACCCAGTCACGCACCACAATCCCATCGAACAGTCGTATTCATTCCACGCGGAAAAGAGAGAGATTGATACAGTCATTCAGAAAGGAGGGCAAGGAAAGTGAGAGAGAGACATAGAGAGAAAAGACGAAAAACACACGCATCCACCGTTCACAAGACAAGATAATCTGGTCCCAGTAGGTCCGAGGATTACCCAGGAAACTAATGGAACAGTTCCGGAAGAAGTTCTTTTGAGTACGCATTCACGGGCGTTCACTCCATCACCAACGAGAGATAGACTCAACATGCATAGTCATTCTAATGAAAGAGAGGAAAGAAGGAGGGACGAAAAAGATGGTCGAGGATATCAAGCCAGAAGAGGGGAAGTACACTGAGATTCAAAGATGGGAAGAACGTCCGGCTTTATCGCAGCGAACTCACACTAAGGAATAGATTAGCACAAGGAGGCGCATCCGCCATAAAGTTCGAACCTTGGCCCCAGGCCAGTCATCCACCCAACTCCAATTACTTATCCTCATATCCGCACCGACGATTTCGGCCGCCTCGTGCTACCAACCACCATTGCGATCGTCACCCTGCCAACTTAGGCTCAACGCGGCTCGCCTAGATCCCACAGTCTGTCGTGGCGATCAAGAGCGCAGCCGGCCAGTCTGTATTCGGCCCGTCAGAACTTTCCGACTCGCTCTTGCACACACACCATGTAGCCACTGCTTCCCGGAAACCGGCTAGCGAGTTGAGAGAGAGATTTCCGGATGCGCTTGCAGAATTTATAGTTGTGAGGAGGGAGATAGATGCAGGGAAAGATGAAGAGTGGGGCAGAGGAGGGTGAGGGAAGACATGAGGGTAATTGCCCATTGAAAGCCATGTTGATCTTCCTCAGTCCGATCTTAGCCAATCAGAATCGTCGCATAGTAGGGATTTCCTCTTACACGGCGCTTCTCCTTGACTAGGCGGTGTAAAGAGAGGATGGACCAGGTTTTCGAGCGCAAGACTTAGAGCGGGAAGAAGCAGGTTGCGAAGGATAGCGTGAAACGGGTCCAATATTCAAATGATCAAGAAAAGGAAAAAAAAGGCGCGCGAGGAGAGAGAGAGAGAGAAAAAAAACAGTTACGGGGAGAGAGTGAGAAGGAGCATGAGCGCGCGAAAAGAGGACGTCGAAGAGAGGGGACGAAGGAGGAGGAAGCTCGCATGCAGGGCGCCGAAATGCAAAAATGGCCATTGAAAAGAGTTACAACTTTTTTCTATATCCTATGCCAATTCAAAAATTGAAATCACCATATCCGCACGCAGAGTCGGCGCGGGAAAATAAAGTCCTTTGTCTATCCGTATTCTCACAAAATTCCTAGAGTTTTCCACGACGTGACCGAGAACATTCATGCACAAAAAAGACACGTCGGGCTCCGTACAATCCGGAAATTCCTAACCGCCGAGCCAATTTTTAGCGCGTTCGGTAAGGCGCGTGCAACTCCCATGCATTTCCCAAATTACAAAAAGACAGGGTTTCAAGAATCCATGGGACTGTCCCAACAAGGCACCTTAATCGGACAACAGATAAGGGGCCGTATTGGCCCGAGCAATACAAAGAACTTAGACGGGTTCGGAAGATGGCGCAGGTTCGAAAGTTGGATTGTTACATATGTGACGCACAGGGGGTTCCAAAATTATGCGATCTCCTGATTGCATGCAGGGAGGCTAGTTTCAATGGCAGAGGAAGAAGAAAGGGGGTAAGATGAGGATGGAGGAACTCGACGTATCATGAGACAGTACACGTCAACATAGAAAATGGAGCCAGAGTGTAAGTTGACGACAACATCAGTGGCAAGATCTTCACGATATTGCTGGCTCGTGCTGTCTTGAATCCTGCTCTCTCCAGACTTGTCATGTGCAACCCCCTGCCTCTTGCTCCTCGGAGATCGTCCAGGTGATGCCATCATGGTCCGTCGGCTCTCCGTGTGCTCTGCACCCCTGCCTCGTCACATGTACACATCAATAATTAACAGGGAGAGGAAAGGGAAGGCGGTACATGGGGGCGTGTCGAGGAGGCGGATTGTCGGGAGTGGGGGTAGGAAGCGTTCCATTTCCGCGACTGTCACCGGAAGCTCCTAATATCGGATGATCCGATGGAAGCGCGAGAAACGGGTACCTCCATGGGGTAGAGACGCAAGGTAGTCGGGATAGAGGGTGGTGAAGGTGCGAAGGAGGGCCGTCCGAAACTGATCATGGTTCTCGCATGCGGGGACGGTCCCCGTAATCATGCAATAAATTTCGATCATGTTGTGGCCTCGCCACGCGGCGATGAAGAGAAGGACATAGAGGTAAAAGACGAGGGTGGCGCACCGAGTTGAATGATGGGGGTATACCGTGACAGCGAGGCGGGTAGCGTAGAAGTGGCGGAAGGTTTCAATGGGGAAGGGGTTACGGGGGAGGGTGACTGGGACAGTAATCTGGCGGAGGCTGAGGTAATCAAGGGGACGGCGGGATAAGGACCGGCCCGGGCTGGAGGTGGCGGCGCCCTGGTGGAGAGGTGCGCGGGGGATCGCGCGTCAGGTAGGAGGAAGGTGGGGGAAGCGGTAGCGGGGTCGGGATCAAGGAGACAGGACGAAGGTGGGGAAAGCGGGATCGGGATTGGGGAGACTGGAAGAAGTTGGGGAGGGAGGTGGGGGAGTCGAGATCGGAGGAG